ATCAATGTTATAACTTCGGCGTAAGGCATCGTCTACAATACACAGAGTAAGAAGTAAGAGTACGAAATTGACCAATCACAGTCATTCCATTCTTCAGAGGAACAGCTATGATTGGCTAGTTCCATAACATCAATGTTATAACTTCGGCGTAAGGCATCGTCTACAATACACAGAGTAAGAAGTAAGAGTACGAAATTGACCAATCACAGTCATTCCATTCTTCAGAGGAACAGCTATGATTGGCTAGTTCCATAACATCAATGTTATAACTTCGGCGTAAGGCATCGTCTACAATACACAGAGTAAGAAGTAAGAGTACGAAATTGACCAATCACAGTCATTCCATTCTTCAGAGGAACAGCTATGATTGGCTAGTTCCATAACATCAATGTTATAACTTCGGCGTAAGGCATCGTCTACAATACACAGAGTAAGAAGTAAGAGTACGAAATTGACCAATCACAGTCATTCCATTCTTCAGAGGAACAGCTATGATTGGCTAGTTCCATAACATCAATGTTATAACTTCGGCGTAAGGCATCGTCTACAATACACAGAGTAAGAAGTAAGAGTACGAAATTGACCAATCACAGTCATTCCATTCTTCAGAGGAACAGCTATGATTGGCTAGTTCCATAACATCAATGTTATAACTTCGGCGTAAGGCATCGTCTACAATACACAGAGTAAGAAGTAAGAGTACGAAATTGACCAATCACAGTCATTCCATTCTTCAGAGGAACAGCTATGATTGGCTAGTTCCATAACATCAATGTTATAACTTCGGCGTAAGGCATCGTCTACAATACACAGAGTAAGAAGTAAGAGTACGAAATTGACCAATCACAGTCATTCCATTCTTCAGAGGAACAGCTATGATTGGCTAGTTCCATAACATCAATGTTATAACTTCGGCGTAAGGCATCGTCTACAATACACAGAGTAAGAAGTAAGAGTACGAAATTGACCAATCACAGTCATTCCATTCTTCAGAGGAACAGCTATGATTGGCTAGTTCCATAACATCAATGTTATAACTTCGGCGTAAGGCATCGTCTACAATACACAGAGTAAGAAGTAAGAGTACGAAATTGACCAATCACAGTCATTCCATTCTTCAGAGGAACAGCTATGATTGGCTAGTTCCATAACATCAATGTTATAACTTCGGCGTAAGGCATCGTCTACAATACACAGAGTAAGAAGTAAGAGTACGAAATTGACCAATCACAGTCATTCCATTCTTCAGAGGAACAGCTATGATTGGCTAGTTCCATAACATCAATGTTATAACTTCGGCGTAAGGCATCGTCTACAATACACAGAGTAAGAAGTAAGAGTACGAAATTGACCAATCACAGTCATTCCATTCTTCAGAGGAACAGCTATGATTGGCTAGTTCCATAACATCAATGTTATAACTTCGGCGTAAGGCATCGTCTACAATACACAGAGTAAGAAGTAAGAGTACGAAATTGACCAATCACAGTCATTCCATTCTTCAGAGGAACAGCTATGATTGGCTAGTTCCATAACATCAATGTTATAACTTCGGCGTAAGGCATCGTCTACAATACACAGAGTAAGAAGTAAGAGTACGAAATTGACCAATCACAGTCATTCCATTCTTCAGAGGAACAGCTATGATTGGCTAGTTCCATAACATCAATGTTATAACTTCGGCGTAAGGCATCGTCTACAATACACAGAGTAAGAAGTAAGAGTACGAAATTGACCAATCACAGTCATTCCATTCTTCAGAGGAACAGCTATGATTGGCTAGTTCCATAACATCAATGTTATAACTTCGGCGTAAGGCATCGTCTACAATACACAGAGTAAGAAGTAAGAGTACGAAATTGACCAATCACAGTCATTCCATTCTTCAGAGGAACAGCTATGATTGGCTAGTTCCATAACATCAATGTTATAACTTCGGCGTAAGGCATCGTCTACAATACACAGAGTAAGAAGTAAGAGTACGAAATTGACCAATCACAGTCATTCCATTCTTCAGAGGAACAGCTATGATTGGCTAGTTCCATAACATCAATGTTATAACTTCGGCGTAAGGCATCGTCTACAATACACAGAGTAAGAAGTAAGAGTACGAAATTGACCAATCACAGTCATTCCATTCTTCAGAGGAACAGCTATGATTGGCTAGTTCCATAACATCAATGTTATAACTTCGGCGTAAGGCATCGTCTACAATACACAGAGTAAGAAGTAAGAGTACGAAATTGACCAATCACAGTCATTCCATTCTTCAGAGGAACAGCTATGATTGGCTAGTTCCATAACATCAATGTTATAACTTCGGCGTAAGGCATCGTCTACAATACACAGAGTAAGAAGTAAGAGTACGAAATTGACCAATCACAGTCATTCCATTCTTCAGAGGAACAGCTATGATTGGCTAGTTCCATAACATCAATGTTATAACTTCGGCGTAAGGCATCGTCTACAATACACAGAGTAAGAAGTAAGAGTACGAAATTGACCAATCACAGTCATTCCATTCTTCAGAGGAACAGCTATGATTGGCTAGTTCCATAACATCAATGTTATAACTTCGGCGTAAGGCATCGTCTACAATACACAGAGTAAGAAGTAAGAGTACGAAATTGACCAATCACAGTCATTCCATTCTTCAGAGGAACAGCTATGATTGGCTAGTTCCATAACATCAATGTTATAACTTCGGCGTAAGGCATCGTCTACAATACACAGAGTAAGAAGTAAGAGTACGAAATTGACCAATCACAGTCGAATGTGAGAAGAATAATCGACCGTGATTGGTCAATTTCTTACTCTTACTTCTTACTCCGTGTATTGTAGACGGGCCTTCACATTCAACTGTGATTGGTCAATTTCTTACTCTTACTTCTTACTCCGTGTATTGTAGACGATGCCTTACGCCGAAGTTATAACATTGATGTCATGAAACTGACCAATCACAGTCATTCCATTCTTCAGAGGAACAGCTATGATTGGCTAGTTTCATAACATCAATGTTATAACTTCGGCGTAAAGTGTGCCGTGTAAACATAGTATGTGATGGGAAAAATTTTTAACTTCTGACTTCTGATTTATGACTAATGGGTTATTGTAGAAGGCCCATTACTCTCCATATATTGTAGACGATGCATTACAGCCTCACCCACTATTGCCATTGGGTGCTTTCCAGCAAGAGACACAAATGACACAGTGAATCATTACATCCTTGTTGTTTGCTAATGTTAAAAATGAAGATGATATGACATCGAGCCGTGTAAATGTTGTAAAAGACAAAACGATACTCGTATCACTAAATGAAAGGCACCCATAACAATTGAATATGCATGGCTTCTACTTACTCAGAAACTCGATTCGAATTTCTTCCAATTTGTCCAGTTCGATTCCGTCTTGAAGAAACAGTCTGCCGCCTTCTTTCTTTGGTCCCTGATCTATCGCTAGAGAAACAAGCATGCTTCGCGTTATCACGCCAGGCTCCGTGGTTTCGCGCAACGCGCTGATTGTATCTGTCTTATGCATCCTGTATCACGCCATTTCACGCCTCAGGTCTGCTCAGGGCTCAGGTCTCAATTTCAACCATCACCATGGTTTCAACCATACTGAAGTATAGATCCTCTTAGGTAGAGATCAAACAATGCGGGCTACTTTGTGATTGGTTCTGCCATTTAGTAAAAGTGGAGACTCCGCTGTGTTGGAGCACGTTGGAGCATGTTACGAGCATGCGACATGAACAAACTTTTTGTCTGATCTCTACCTCTAGAGGATCTCTATGTAGGGCCGTCGATGCAAAAAAAAATTGAATACATTTAAGATTTCGAGGACCGCGAAGTGTTGATACGCATTATTCAGTCCCCAAAATCTTAACCACGTTGATTTTCTTTACGTTGATGATCTTGCATTTCGATTTCGGAACTGAAGTTGGACATATCTGTTTTACATTATGATACATATGTTTGATATATTGTATGTGTATTGTAGATTGTAGCCAGCTCGGCTCCTCGCGCGCTGATGCTCGCGTAATCGTTTCGACGATCGACGTGTAATCGCGAGCTTTCCGAGATGTCGCGTACGAGGACGGAGAAGAATGGAAACGGAGCCAAGTACGAGGTTACCGTATGGACACGTGCGATCACCGCGAACTCCGAGTGGCCGGACAAGGTAAACATAACCCTTGAGTCGTGTCATGGTATTACTAGTATTCTGTTCTATCCAAAGGGGAAAGAAAATTATTTCCACGAAGCGGAAATTATTTCTGACTTGTTGCATTTCTATATCTTTTCATACCTTTTTGTTGCAGGAGGAATTTCTCGATGTAATATACTGGGCGAGACAGGCGATTGGTATTATCGTTGGCATAGGATGGGGCCTTATACCACTAAAAGGTTTTATAGCTTTATTGTTGTAAGTATAGAGACAACTAGACTCTTTTTAATATATATGTCTCAAATCACAATGTGATCTTACCAAACACATTGCCACGTGCTTATATTTCAGATTTGTTGTAGTCAATGCAGGAATTACGTATTTATACTTTAGCAATTTTCAACAAATTGACGAGGAAGAGTACGGTGGTATATGGGAATTGACGAAAGAAGGATTCATGACCTCATTCGCTGGGTTTCTGGTAAGTGGAGCAGGATCAGTTTCTCTTAATGGATCATCTTTTTCCTTTTCTCTCTTACTCTTTCATCCTGTACTTTATTACTATTGTTTGTTAATAGGTGACTTGGATTATTATATATTCAGGATTGCATTTTGACTGATATACTCAATAAAGATCACAGATAAAGAGCAATAGCTTTTTCATATGGATCATCGCTGCTGCCAAATTCATTATACATAACGCAATAGTTTCCTTCACAATAGATACTGTTATATATTGACTTTTTTCGTATACTGTTACATATTACATACAAATATGATTTATCTGTGTATAAAGAAAAGAAAGACCTTCTTACCTTCTCAAACTATGTATCTTGTATAATTTTAACCACTCTAATCGCAATCGAATTTTCGCAAAACTCGTTTGTTTCGTTCTCGCTTGAGTTAATCTCTACTAAAAGACGTTTCGTAATGCTATAAAAATACATTTGTACGCTTCATATTTTCCTCAGAACTTTATGATATAAATTTCAGCGACGTTTCCATTGCTTTAGCCAACCATCAAGCGCTTGCGTCCTCGCGCTTGTACCTGCTTGTATTTAGCGAGTATTTGCTCATACTGCTTTTTATTTTGATAATGCTGTTGATAGTAATGAAAAACACGGGAAAACAACTCCGGCACTTCGCAATGCGCGTTAAGTAGCGATCGCTCGAGAACATATAGATCGACGGCTTTATCTTCCAGTGTGGAATCCACTCGGGCCAATCCGAAGTCAATCATTACAAACTGTGCCTCGGCTGCAAAGGAATATCATTTTATAAATATATATATATATGTGTGGCGTGCAACGCACACACACAGATAGATAGATATCGCTATTTATAAAGAAATAATGGAATCTTTTATAATAGACATGTACAGAAGATACTAAATTTTTTCAAATACAATAAATGTTGAAACTCCTTTTCAGTGCAAAGCAACTTTGACAGCAATAATTCGATTTACAATTAAATATGATAATTATGATAAAGTTTATTTATCGTTTACCGCATTCGTGATTTAAAGTAAATTCATGATTTGAAGAGAAATGTCATCGCGAAAAGTTTACCTCCTGATTGATCGTTGTAAAGTGACTCGATTGAGTTGTTCTTGAGCAGTATATTTGATGTGGTCAAATCGCCATGGATAATATGCTTCGAGTGCAGCTTAGCTATCACTGTGCCCAGTCCGCGTCCTATGAAATCTAGCAAATGAACCACGTCTATTTTTCCCGAAATATTCTCATCTATGAAGTTTTTCAGCACTGTGGCGTTTTCTATGTATTCCATGTAAATTCTGCGTCGCTCCAAGTCTACTAAGTATAAAGCGGGCGTTGCTATTCCTTAAGAATAGAACGGAGCAGATAATATATTAAACGAGAATAAATGAAAGTAACGAATGCGAGTCCATACTCTTCCACCGGTCACGTACTTGGATGCGTCGTGCGTTTTTACCTGCGGACTTTGCCCGGACAATGGCGCGAGCCTCTGCTCTGATGCGATCCTTGGTGAGACGAGCGTCTAGCTCTGGGTGTCGGTAATTCTTTACGAATCTCTCCTTCATCATGCACGTCCTTCCTAAATAGATTCCCTTATAGAGACGTGCCTCTGCCCCTTGTACTATCAACTCCGAGTCTTTCATTATGATTATCACTGGAGATGCACCATATCAGTCGAAACTTGCGAATATTGCGTCCGCAAATATTTCACTTCTATTTGCGTTGTTGTAACGAGCTCTAGAAAATGAAACAACTGAGGTTGAGAGAAGGAAGACAGCTTTTAGAGCACGCTAGAAGTGAAATTCTTCATTATCACGAAGGTTGTAGGCAATGTGCACGCACATGTCCATTAGGTGAGCATATATTACATTCGCGCATTGTATTCGCGAACAGATCGATTTACTTATTGCAATCTACGTAATGAGTCTTCATGATCAAGCGATCGGCGAATAAAATATTTATCGAAGTCATCAACGAAGCTGCATGCATGCACACTCTCTAAATGTTTTTAGAATCTCACTCTAAAGAGTGAAAATTGAGCCAGTGAAGAACTTGAAGAACTGAGTAGCTCAATTTTCAATCTTTAATGCCCATTTCATCTTTTTCTAGTTTTAAAAAGTAAGTTAAACCGAGATTAAGGCTTCTGAATGGTCGCAAGTAATCACGGCCATACTGAATCATGACGTCAGAAACGAAAAATGACACGTTAATTTTTGTTACGTGCCATTTGTAAATAAAGAGAAATTTTGATAAAACGAAATGATGAGATGGCTTTAAAACACTTGTAAAAATAAGACAAAGCTATCCTTATCCCCCTTGACAGTCAATAAATAGTCGTAAAAGGTGATAAAAGGCACGTGAAAGTGAAAATAGAATACGCATGCGCGTTGAATAAACGAACTTCAAATATCTTTTATTTTTTACGACTATTTACTGACTATCAGGGGGTATAAAATAGTTTTGCCCCAGTTTTACAAGTGTTTTAACGCGATCTCATTATTTCGTTTTAATCCAAATTGTCTTTATTTACAAATGGTAACAGAAATTAATGTGTCATTCTCGCTTCTAACGTCACGATTCAGTATGGCCGTGACGACAATTCAGGAGCCTTGAAGTTAATTCACATTACAATAATATATTTGGTAAAAACGGGTATAAGAGTAACATTTCATTTTTTTAGAGTGACAATTCACTTAAAACAAAGTTTTAGAATACATATATCGAAGAAATAAAATATATCCAAGACATTCGATCGCTGATTTCGGCTAATTGGGGGCTTTATTCGCTGGTCGCACATAAACGTATCAAACGTATAGAAGGACGAGGCGAATAAGAGACATCAGTCAGTTACCTTCGGTCATTCTATTCGCTTGCGCGAGACGAGGCGAGGCGAGGCAAAATGTTAAGGGCGAGGCCGCGAGCGAGGGCGAGGGCGAGGGCGAGGGTGAGGGCGAGGGCGGCGAGGAGGTAAGGTACTTGGGAAGAGCGCGGCCGCTAGCGCTAGCGAGGCGAGACGAGGGCGAAACGCAAATCGATCGTTATCCGCCAGCGACCTGCGCGCTAATCGCTATCCCAGCGCTAGTATTCGCCCGTACTTTGTTCCCATCGGTCCGCCACTCGCCTGACTCGCCATCGCTTACGAGCTTCCCCATCCGCGGGGGTAGTGCGAGTTGGCGAAAAGAAGAAGACGACGACGACGACGACGACGACGACGAGGAGGCGAAGAAAGTATGAGGGACGAGGTGAAGATGGACGCGAATCGGCTGATCGCCGAGGTCTACAAACGGCCGGCGCTCTGGAATCAAAGGCACATCTCCTACCATAATCGCGAGGTGACCAACCGCGTCTGGATGGAGATCGCAGCGATATTCAATCTGCCCAGTACGTGTCATGTAAACACCCCATCCCCGCATTGGTACCGCAGGACCCGAGCCGCGATAAGTAATCGCTCGCCGCAGCGACGCAAAGAGTCGTCTTTCGCCCATGCGTCGCTCACTCGTGTCAGAGCGCGGCCGTTCCTCTTGGTTCCTCTCCTTCGGCGAGGATGAGTACGTCCTTTACGTCCTTACGAGTACGCGACCGCGATACGAGTCTTGCTACGGCAACCGCTCGTCTCATGAATGACTTATGAATCCTTAAAATTACCTATCCGACTCGGAGAGTCGTCTTGGACAAACGCGCCGTTTGTCAAATACTTATTTTCATTTTACGTAAATATTAACGCGCTTTAAATAAACGACTAAAATAATGCCTTTCCTATGTCACGAGAAAATCTACAAAAAGAGAGAGAGAAAGTAAGGATCCGTTTAGTGATGTCTGGATCAATCTTTGGCGTTTTTGGCCGAGTTTTTTTAAAAAGTATCTCGATATTACAATTTTTCATTATATAGTTGCTTTAATACTTAAGAAGTCTCTCGACGCAATTTTGACATTTCGCGCCCCACTCCGTTGAAAAAGCAAATACAGAAGACTATCACAACGCATCTCTCTTTCGACATCAAAGCGTTATGTTATAGGCTAATATTCTAAATTATAACATTCTATCGCCGTACATCTCAAGATGAAATATTATTCTCTCCGGCTGGTCGATCTATCTTGCCATCATCAAATTCAAAGACACGGAGCGGAGGATTTCGTTGCCGGGAAACGCGAGTTTCAAAACGAAATTCTGCACCTTGCGAAGAGTTGGTCGTAGGGCGGATTTAAAATTTCATATTTGACTTGATGAATTACTTTTATTCTAGAGGTTCACGCTATTTTATATTATTCTAAAATACAATTTCTGCTATTCTAAAGTATAATTCTCGAGATTCGCAAGTTTCATATATGTTTATTTGACATGTTGACATAACGTGCATCGTCCTAACCTCATTCCACACGCGAACCGGCGCGAAGTACGCCACGAATGATTACGTCAATGTCGCGTGATATACCGTGGGGACATCTTACCTGAGGTATCCCAGTGCACGACCGAAACGAGATTTCTTATCGTGCTTCGATAATATTAATTGAACCGTAAACGGTGAACCAACGTGAATATGCACGCACATGCACAAATCGTTCGGTCGAGAACGCATGCGCAGCATAACGCAAGGATGCATCGATGCGCATTGCGCGCGCACGAACGCAATCAATACGCGCTCTCTTTGTATACCATAGATCTTATCATTATGGATCCATAAATAAGAGCTAATCACTCGGTGAGTAGGCTGCATTCCGAAACTAATCGAAAAGAAAGTGTCGCAACCTTTTATTGTTGCAACCAATGCAACCATGAATATACATATCGTTGTGTTATCAAGGTTGCGGTCCACTTGCTTCTTCAGCTAATGCTCTGAACGCTACGCTCTAAACGATATGCTTGGATTGGTCCATTATTGTTCCGATGCTACAATCGCTACGTGAACCCTCCAGCCAATTCACCGAGGTGAGGCAGTTGGAATGGAAGTGGGAATGGAAACGATGATGTATTGATGACGTAGATGACGTAGAGAATTACTGGGAGCATTTCAAAGGTGCGTTCGGGAAGCTCACTGTCACGCGGTAAACATAAATGCTGCGAACTCGATCATCTGTTTGGGGAGCTAAGATAGCGTTAGCGACTTATACCAGCTCCATGAACAGCACTGGCGCATCGTTAACGCTTTTTGATCTCAATTAACACTAGGGGTGCGTTCGGGGGACGCTATATCAGCGCTATGAATGCAAATGCTACCAACGCTGTTCATAGAACCAATAACGCGATAATGTTAATTAGCAAGCGTAGTGTCAGTAGCATTCACAGGGCGATATTTATAGTCCGTTCTTATTTTAAGACCGTCTTAAGATGCTAATACAGCCTTCTGATTGGTTTATGGCATCTTAATACTGTACGTATTTAAGAGGATGCTGGAAAGAACTTGATGTCGATAAAACAGATTTTTATTAAGGAAGGTGCACCTCCATTTTATTACGAGTATCATCTTCAATGCAAATTATGTAATTGTAAGAATTATCGTTCGTTAAACATGATGTGTCTTCATCAGTGTCTAAAAGTGATCTTACAGATATCTTACAGACGTCTTGAGGACATCTCTATGACATAATGTCTGAAAAATATCTCGATGATATCTTCGATCAGGATGTTTTATGTCTGCATTTTGCATATATTGTACTCTGGATGAGTTTGGAGTTAAAAAAATCTGTATTACTGTCATTAGTCAAGTTTGATCGTCGCTCCAGCATTCTTTTAAAGTGCTGACGAATTATTGAATCTCAAGTTGCAAAGCGAGCCGGCTGCATATGCTGTTAACACGTTGTTGCGTCAGCAACATCACTGAATAAGCCTTCGTTTGTCTATTTGCAGAACCGATGCTGAAGGCGAAGTGGAAGGGCCTGCGTGACACATTTCGTGCTGAGTTAAAGAAGGATCAGGTGTACCGCAAGAGCAAGTTCCACCGGAACCGGCCGGTATGGATACACTTCAAAAGCTTGCAATTCCTCAAGGAGCAAATGCTGCCGCGGCCGCCGATCTGGGAGCGCAGCATCCCGAAAACGGAAGATGAGCTGCAGCCGAGCGAGGGCGAAGGCGAGAACGGCATGCTGACTTCAAGCATCGACGGCGGTCTCGACGATCGAGACACAATCGCCGATCATCTGTTGTCGATGGCCGGCGACGGTAATATTGGCCATCATCATCACCACCACCGTCACCATCATCAGCATAAGCTGGACGGTGGTGACGGTCGACGTGGCACAGTGGATGTGAAGCGCGAACCCGAAGAGAGCTTCGACAACTTGGAGTTCCAAAACGTCACTGACAACCTGGCGGAAAACGAGATGATGCTGCAGAATATTTCGCCTGAGCAGGTCCTGATGAGCGACAGTGACACCGGTCTCGCCGGCGTTGATCCGCTCGAGGGCAGTTGTCGTTTCGATGACAATTACTACTTTCTGATGAGCCTATTACCGCATATCCGTACCTTACCGGCTGACCGCAGGATGCTGCTCAGGATGCAGATGCAAGAGCTCGTTTACAAGGAGGTCTATAATAAGGCCACCGATGACGAGTCAACGGCGAAGACTTAACTGACGTCGCTGCGCGCTAAGTTAACTCTTGAGACTCCTTTTTTTCGTTGCAATGATATCACGTCGCGATGTTAAAAACGAGTCATGTGGATTTGTCTTAATGCTCATGTATATGCCGATACCAAAGTTAAATTGGCTTTTTTTTACACGCCGTCGTTTAGTGCCATAATTTAGGATTGCGTTCAAAACTTCGCCCGAATATATTTAGATATCATTTTATTCTTCTTTAACATTTGATGAACAACAAGGATAAAATGATATACCCTAAATTCCTGAACACATCCTGTGTGACTGTACAGAGAAGAAGCGGGAGCTTCAAAGTTTTTCGTAACTATTTTTTAAGGAATAAAGAGTACTCATTTCATGTAAATATACAGGATGTTTTAGAAACACCTGGCCAAATTTTAGAGCGTATAGTCACAATACGGATGGTGAAACAAAAAGTAATACGAACATGAGTCCGCATTGAGAAAAAAAAATAGTTTTGGTAACATTATAAATTAACAACTCTAAATTTAAGTACTTGCAACTAATTTTACAAAGTAATAAGAACTATATTTTCGTAGTATTCAGTACTACTTTAGTTCTTATTACTTTGTAAATTTTCGATAAAACTAATTGCAAGTACTTAAATTTTAGAGTTGTTAATTTATAATTGCTAAAATTTTGTCTCTCCGTGCGCGGAAATACTTTCTTTTCGAGTTAAATATTTTTTATTTATGATAGAAATAGGCAAAAACATTTTGCTAAAGAAATTGTTAGAAACTTCTGCAGCAATGCATGCTTTGCATCAATATCTCATGGATTATCGAAGATGTTAAGAAATTTTAAAAATATTTCAAATTTTCACGTGAAGCGATAATAGGATTTCGGGAAGTTCACAGTAGCGATAGGAGTATCATAAACAAAAACATTTTTTGTTAAACAACATTATTATTAAAAAATTATGCTGCAAACAAAAAACATTTTCGAAAGGAAGTATTTCCAAATTTATGTTCATATGACTTGTTTTCATCCTTACTGAATAGAATACGCTCTTAAAATTTGGCCACGTGTTTTTGTAACATCCAGTAAAAATAAAAAATCTTTATTCCTCAAAGAGCGGCCACAAAATCTTTAAAAGCCGAAATATTTTATTTACAATTTTTTTTCCCACGCAACATCGATCAACACGAGCTACTGAAACCGTTAAAAATATCCGTATGAAAAAAAAGACCGATAAACAACTCATCGTATAAAAAAACGGACCATTAAATTTTAGCACAAATTAATATTTTTCAATAGCGGTAACTCGGCGAGAAATCGATATTGAGATGAACCAAATCAAATTAAAACTTGAACATTCGTCTTTAACGTTCGCTATTTTGTAATATATTTTGTGTAACTTAAATTTAATCTCCATGATCATCAAGTTTTAATTTGAGCTTCGGTTCATCTCAATACGAAGATTCTTCGCTGAGTTAACGCTATTAAAAAATATTAAAAGATTGTGCTAAAATTTAGTGGTTCGTTTTTTTTTTAACGAGTGCGTGCATGCGTGTTATATATAAGGATGTTCAGAAATTACCGCGTCATCTTTCGTTGGCAGGTAGAGCGGGTTTAACTATAGAAAAATCTTTTATTGTTTTGCGAGTTTCTTATAAGTCGGTAACTAATAAGAAATGAACTAATATAAAGATTTGCGGACAAGGATGCATCCACGTGATTAATCCGCACAACTTTTCTATTTAGTTCAATTCGCTCCACCTATTCGCAAAAGTTGGCAATTTAATTACTAGACACCCCGTATACAATTGGATGTATAAGGTTATACACAACTAACTCCAGGTAGGTCATCAACCGGATTGCCCCGGGTGCTAAGCGCGCATCCGACGTTCGTTACCGCGACGCGGCGACCCGCGACACGGTTGAGCGACACTGCTCTCTCTCTCTCTTTCTCTTTCGTATCTGGCCCTGACGGATACAGGATACAGCAGTGAGTGAGTGACGCACACCTGTGTGTACCACTGTGCGCCTGTCGCAGGCAGTCAGTGCGCGTTCATCAGCGTCCTTGCGACGTTTCATGTATATCGTACCACTACCGATCGCCGTGCACTGCTAGTGAGTAATGTACCCTGCACGGTAATTTCGCGCAGAGTGCGCATGCGCCCCTCGTCGTCGATCAGTCGGTTGAGTCGGTGTGGCTGATGGCTCCACAATCGTACGTTCCACTTCCTCGAACTCCACGTCTCCGTAGCTTTCGCGTCGTGACTCGCGAGTCGCGACTCCGGTCTCCGCGTCTATGCTTTCAGTTAGCCGCCGATCGCACATCGCGCACCGTTATCCCGCGTTATCGTCGCGCGCTCATCGGTCGATCGGTCTTTCCCCTCGTTACTTCCCGCGGGTAGACGTCGCGTTTTGTGTCACGTTGTCGCGCGAACACAGGTGTGTTGACGCACCGGACAAACGGGATACACATTGCTGCTCTGCGAACGGTGGATGTACACGGTCGTACTGAGTCGTACCTGTCTGCCGCTGGCTGTGTCGCACTGTGTCGCACTCAGCACTGCAATCGACGCGCGAGGTGAGCCAAGTTTCAGGAATCTTAACTTCCGTGCGCTTCCGCGTCGGAAAGTCTGCTCTCTCGAAATGGTACCCATGAAGTGGTACCACCGCGTGTGAACTCTGTGAGTTTCCGGAGAATTCCTCCGTCAGTTTGGAGTTGACATTTCTCTCAGCGAGAAAATGTCGACCGCCAGGTTTTAGCACAATGTATCTTTTATTGAAGAAAATATTCGCTATTTACCTTTCAATTGATTGAGAGATCGATAGTTCTCTTCTCGGCGATTTAAACTCATCAAAAGAAATATCGCTTTTCATTGATACCTGAATATTATTTTTATTGACGAAAACTCAACTCCAAATTGATCGAAAAGCGTTATATTATATTATATCCCCTTTACATCTATTTCTACCAATATGGATTAACTTAAATTTCGGTTTTACTCTCGATCTTTTTCTCTGATTTTGAGAATTAGAAAAAGAGCAAGATTAAAAAATTGATCTGCATTGGTAGAAATAGCCACACACGTTATACAATACAGCTGAAAGGAGCGAACATAAATGCGTGATTGTATGCGAATAGGCGTTCAGCGCACCGCTCGCACCGTTACTGTAAATTCCATTGTACAGACCTTCGATCGTCCTCGTAACCAATCACGTTTTTGTAACATATGTATACATATGTAGTTGTTGATTTCGACGTATGTGCAATACGAGCATGTCCAGTTTGAAAATAGAACGTGTTCGCTCGGCTCTAGTCTAGCGTCTAATCCTTTAACCGTCATGCTCATTTCTTGATTGTGAAATTGCTTGAAAAGAAAACCGAATGTGTGTTAAAAACACATTATTTTATTAAAATAAAAAGGACTTTTTTATTACGTCACACTTATTTTATTGCATTACTAATATTACTAATATTACTAATATTACTGATATTACTATTTCGTCACTTCGCCACTAGGAGTAATTAATCATCTATGAATGTGAAATCAGAGAGACTTCGCGAAACTTATTGTCTTTAATCAGCAAGAGTTGAACCTAAGGCACAATGAAAAACACAAGCGATAGAAACAGAAAACAACTTGACAGATTTCAGCTTATCAGAAATCGTGCATTTCGATGTACATTGTTTCTACTATGATAAATTGAAATCTCGTATTCCCTCTTCCTGTTGCGCCTGTGCTTTTCAATATAGTGCATTAGGCTTCATTGTTACACACAATTCTTGAATGCATGTCAAAAGTGTGTAGCAAATAAAGCGTTTCATCTTATGAGACGAATGTAAATAATATAAAAAACTGAAATTGTGATCGATATAAAAATAAAAACGGGTCGAAATGACTTTGGGAAGTAATATGAGAACTCTTCAGGAACGATCGATCTAAAGAAGATTGAAAAATGATAGAGGATCAGTCAGATTTATGCATGGACGAATGTTTTGCTTCAGGTAAGAACGGTAACAAAGAGACTAGGCGAAATACTGACGATATCCATGTGTCGTTAGAGAACGAAGATTAGATATCGGATACTCTCGTGCACGTTAAATATATCCTCCGCTCTCTGTTCACACTTTCGAGTCTGCTCTAAATAGGCGGACTGGAATCTCAGCTCGGTGTGATTCGAAACGCATCTACGCATTCCATTCCGAGTGACAAGTGCCTGGAGACCGCTGGTCATGTCCCGGCGTGCTTGGTCAGCTTGGTAAGCACTGTAAGTAGTCTAATGCTGTTGTAGACAGCTGACACGGTTCCGTTTGCCGCACGGTGGAAGTTGCCGCAGTAACCAATCATTCTTTCGCTTTTATGGAAAAACGATCAATTGATTGGCTCTCGCGCGTCAATTTCCCTCCGCGCGGCAAGCATTGCCGCGTTGTCGCGCGTTCTGTGTGCGGGAGCCATAAGAGTGACACATAAAGGAATCTCTACATTCACTCACTATAATTGCAACTTTATTTTTAAATTTTGCTCAAATCTTAATTCTTCTTTGACTGAAAGGATTTCAGCCTCAAACGAGGTCCAAGCGTTCAAAAGGAGAGGACTTTATAGTTCACAGGACAAGATGTCCACTCAGTAAATTCAAAATTTTGATCAAATAACTTAATTTTTGCGATGCCGCAAGTAAAGTTGGATTTATTTAACTTCAACGTGCAGAAATAATTCAGAAGCCCCTAGAATCTACTTCCTTCTAGGAAATGCCGCACGTGACATTTGCCCCGCGTCCATCAGCTATAGGCACCTTAATAAGAGCTAAAACGAACGCGATTGTATTCAGGATCATCAAACTCTCATATAAATTTTGTTATTTTCATATTAATTTTCATATTAATAATTAGTTGTCCATTTTTGGGGCATACATCTCAGAAGGCATGAAAACCAATGAAAATTTGTGATTAAAAAATTTATATATAGGAATTTGACGATTGTACTCGTATGTAGGTACTTGACCGAACAAGTACACCGGTTGCAGAAATGACTATTTTAAGAATGTTTGATAGATATTTCAAAATAATAAAAAATTATGTAAAAGTTACAGATTATTCTAAATCACATTTAAAAGTAACACAATTGTGATGGTTTACCATATCTGGATCATAAGTTATTTCAATAAGAATTAAGTAGTATTTTTTTAATCTGTGCTCTAATAAAAATATATGAAAATTGTTATAAAATAAATGGCAAAAATCTCAATCGAACATCCTTAACCTTTTGTGGTCACATCTCCTGAGAATTTTATATCGGTCACACAGGAAGGAAAATGACCCCAATACTTAAAATTGATTGTTTACAGCTTTTGTTCTTTAAAATCACAAAAATTACCGAACGTACTTTCAACATTTTAAAACATGGAAATTGGCTTCTTAAAAATTTTAATTTTAACGTACACTACTCAACAAAATTAAAGGGTCATCTATTTCACCTTGCAAAAATAGGCAAATTTCAAGATAGAAGAACTTCATCACAAATCATTATATCGAGATGTTTAAAAGAGCGTTTTACAGCTTGAAATCTTTATTTTTCCGGTTGGCACTTTAGAAAACGAAATTGTGCACAAATGCGGTTTACAATTTACATTCGAAAAAGTGAATCTTTATCCTTAATTTGTTTTTTTATTCATCTCTGTACATTTTTTTAAACAAGTTATTCAACATTGAAGCAAAAATGACCTTTTAGTTCTTCTATCCACACAAAGTTATTTCATTTTGTTTGCCTTTTCCTTTTCAACAAAATTAAAGTCATTTAAAATCAACGTTTAAAATTCAAATTTCACATATCTCCGCAAAGTGATATTTGAAAAAGCATTTTAAAGCCAAAACAAATTTCTTTAATTATAAGTTAAGTTTAACATTTTTTTCTTTAAAATGATTTTTAATCATTACGCTACAATTTTTTTTCACTGAGTGACGATTTGAAGTGAATAGTGCATTTTCTGGTCTTTTCTTTAAAAGTTTATAAAAATTTTGCCGTGAGTAATGCTAATACCGGCGTATTGTAATTCAGTGGAGTTTGCGTTTCAAGAACGAAAAATCATTTCGCAATTTAAGACTATATAGTAGTATATGAATTTACATAAAATTTACGAGAGCACTTAAGATCCAGCTAGATCATTAAAGATATTTATCTCTTGTAATAATTAACCAAATAATTAACCGGTGGTAAATTGAACAACTTCTTATATACGGAATCATTTATATTTCGTATGAAGAGTTATGAAGTATCATTAAAAAGGTTTGTGAGTCATTCGTATAACTATAATTAAATAAAAAACTATAATTAAATATTTAAAAGATTATGTAATTGACCGAAATAATATGAAGGCGCTACAGAGCTCCGGAAGTTTCGATCGTTAGGCGCTACCGTCAGTCTTTCGTAATATTCTGATATTTTATCTTTGTGGTTCAACAATTTTGTTATAAAAAATTTGATATATTACATATTTATATTAAAATATATATTCTAGATACTCTTTTATAAAATATTATCTTATGTTCCATTTTAGCCTAACTCGACGAATGCTATCGACACTACATTTATTGTTTATGGAACTTGCTAACATTATCGCGTTATTGGTTCTACGAACAGCGTTGGTAGCGTTTACATTCATAGCGCTGATAGCGTCTCCCCGAACACACCCATTATATTGTGACCTTCTTGCTTGAGTTTTCTCACGCTTTTTCCCTACTCTCTGCGTCCCTAGAATACATCGTTTAATAAAATTACAGATATCACCGTCGAGATCTCGCCGTTATTCTATACATATACAGGCGGGCAATGTCTGTATTTACTTCATTAGAATAATGACCGCGAGCCCCACAAACTGGTTCTACAATAATCACATCGTAGCGTCGCAAACGTGTCGCAAGCATTGCAATCTGATCAACATCTGCAGACCTGACTTTGATTAGACCGCAACGCTTGCGATGTTGCGACGTGATTATTGTAGAAATTGGATCACAACGCTTACGATGCTGCGATGCGATAATATAGAACCAGCTTTACTAGTCGATGTCAGCAAGCAATATGCAGGAAAGATTGCAAAGGAGGAAGCTGATTCCCTTACATTAAATTGAACTATGATACATTTTTGCAATCCACGTAGATTGTGTTACTTTGCGTAATGTTGAAATTTGTAATCAAGAGAGATTTGGTAATTTGAATTTTCAGGTAATTACTCTAGTAAAAATTTTTCTTATTTTGTCAGTATTCTTTATATAATATTTCAAAGAAATAAAACATCCGTTTGACAAAAATCTGTTAGTTTCTTTCGAAAATCATCGAAACTATAAGAAATAAAAAATTTTTAAAAATAAAAGTTGAATAGCTTTAAAAGTATTTTATAATGATAATATTTTTAATAGAAACTTTTTTCTAAATAAAAATAAAAATATTATTTATAAAACATGAAAAATTGAGAAGAATTTTTTATCACGATTATAAAGTAACTTTGAAACTCTTGGAACCATTCGACTTTTATTAGAATTTTTTTTTCCATCTCTTATAATTTCTACTATATTCGTTTTGAAAGAAACTAACTGATTTTGTCAAACAAGTGTTTCATCTCATATGCAGAAAATGCGTATAAGCACATAAAAAAATACATGTTGTTTATTTCTAGATAACATATGTCAAAATAAGAGGGAATATTTCCATGTATTTTATTATTTGAGTATTCCAGAATTTACGTATATAAAAAATTCTAGAAAAAACTAAACTTTCTCAACATTTTTTAAGTGTCTCAATTCGTTAAAAAAAACTTAGAAATTGTCTAAAAAATTATAAAATTGTACAGACATTCTGAAAATTTCAGAAACGTATAGAAATGTTATATAGAAATTCTGAAAAGTAATATAAAAAATTTTAAGAGAAATTTTTGTTAGGGTTATTATGAGAACATATAACCAAGTATAAAATTTAGAATATAATTTTTGAACTTCTATCTTATTTGAGCTGTGAATTTAGTTTCGCATGTTATTCGATTATTGACGCGAGGTTTACTGGAAAATCTCGCTGTCGTTCCATTCAACATGGATGTATTATCTCATTAACATATAATCAATAATATATTGGAATATTATACGTATTGCTTTTATCACACAATTTTGCCAGAAACTGACATGACAACCGATGAACGCAATGAATGCGGCAAAATGCGGAATAAGACGCACTTCAAACTCAGTCGTGCGCGCATTTTGTTTCTGTATCTCTCATTATCTTAAATAAAAGGTAGCAACGTAGCAACGTAGTTTTCTTTCTCGAGATGGATTTAAATTATTGCGAATACATATACATATACAAGTTTACCTCGACCCCGACTTCTCAGTCGGAGAATGAGGGAAGAGAAGTTCTCGCGGGCAACGACTCGACTCGACTTGCATCTCTCTTTCTCTTTCTTTCCCGTCTACCACACCGCTTGTTACTTTCAAAGCGGACGCGCTCCTGGCATACCTTAAGTCTGACTCATAAACGTGGTGTTTCAGCAACAACGGGGCAGGCGACAACGACAACGACGCGGGTGACGGTGGCGGTGGATGAGAGCGTCCTTTGGCGGCGCATGCACCACGTTGCAACGCGCGAATACTCCGTCGGGACCCATTGCGGGGTCCAAGGATGGTGAGCTCTCGTACATCCACCGTGAACGTCACGTCCACCGTTAACGGTAGCGGCATAGCCGACGGCGCGGGGAACACGTCGCGCGAAGACGAGAGACGTGCGACGAACGGCGTCGGCGTCCCTCAAGAGTGGAATCAGAGCGGGCCGCCCTCGCTCTCGATGTCAGTCGATCTGCATAATTTCGACAGTTCGACTCTCACAGACTCGGGACGTTATTCCGCGAGCCCGGACGATCACCAGGCCGCATCGGCCAATGCTACCACAATCAAAATCGGCTGTCACGACGAAGAGGAGAGCTACGAAGGTTTTGGTTCCGTTGAGGGCGATTTGGTGGATGATGGACCGGAGTCGCCGGGCGGTAGCAGTTCCACGCCCTCGCCAACCGGTACCAACTTGCACAGGTAAGTTCGACGATATCTTTCATAGAACACGGAGAGAATTTTTTCTTAGAATTTACCCTGAAAATATGACAATCGTGGGACAACATTTTGTGTGTGTATGTGTATTTCGAAGAATTTTAATATAAATCTCTCTCATTCATTAATAAAACTACAATAAAGTATAAAATAACTAATAAGTTTGATCAATTTTAATGAAATGCATGGTAAAAATCTTTAAAATATTGTATTGTATCACAATCACCATATTTTCAAGGTAAATTTTAAAAGAAAATTCTCTCCGTGAAGAAGAATATTGCTCTGTGGAATATATCAAGATTACTTTGCGGAATAATTAATTTTCTTTTATACTCATTTTTTTGCATATCAGAGTATTTCATAAAATGCACTCTGTTCGATATTTCATCAAGTAATTTTATGTGATACATGTATGTCGCATTGGATAACATATATGTATGTATACATATATATATATTATATAATATATATAAATATACATATATACATATGTATATATAAGAGAGAACACCTGGTCTTGTATATTAAAAAATATCAAAAACATTATTATTAGAATTTGTAATCTGAAATATTCAGTTATGAAAACGAGTTATTATTTCTGAAACTTTAATCTTTTGTAAAATTTTTCTTGGTTTCAAATTATTCATATTTCCTAATTTATATCGTATAATTAACTTGAATAATCGGAAATCAAGTTGCAATAACGCATATTCGAGCATCAAAATATCCGGAATCACTGTACTATTCTAATCTAGACAAGAAAAGAGCAAAAGCAAACTAGACCTTCTATTATGTCAATTGCTTCCTGCCGTTATTCGCTCGATATACGTAACATCAGTTGCGGAATATAGTATTATTTCCGAAGCTGATACATGGTACAGATATACTAAAAACGTTAAAATGCAATATAACCCGAAGCATGCCCGTGCATTTTTACGCTGGGATGAATTTACATGAGAGCAACATGCTGCATACAATGTCTATCATCTTGGAACAATACCGACTGATTTGCCATCTGTAGGCGCAAGTCGCACACGAATTACATAATAATGGAAATGTATTTTCAAGAGTCGCTTTGCAACACTCGTGTGTTGCGTATTCTCGATAGTGATTTCCTGTTAATTTTTTTGCGCAAAAGCAATACGTACGACCTAACACACAATGCGAAACTTCTTTTGATTGACGTGTGCGTTTTGTCTGCCATTTTAAAATATATCACATGAGGAAAAAAATTGCTTATTATGCAAAGTTAATATCAGATAAAGACGTATTCGTTTGTAGACAACTGGTTTTATTCTCAGAATGTTGGCGCAATCACAATATCGAAAAAATTGTCTAATGAAAAAAATTGTCATAATATTTTTAAGAACTTTTCGTATTTCATATCTATGAAAATTTCTGAAAAATACCTTGAACTTTTTTAGATTCTTTTCTATATGGGTTATAAAATGAAAAATTTTTTAATATTTCATAATTTAATATATAAAGAATTTTAGAAAAAATCTCAGCATTTTTCTGAAAAATGTTTTAATTCATAGAAAAAATCTGAGAAGTTTTGTAAAAAGTTATAAAATTATATAGAAATTATATAAAATTATATAGAAATTGTAAAAAATTTGGAAAAATTTGAAAGAATTTTAAGATACATTTTAAGAATTTTTTATTATCCTCGTGAAAAAATTCTCGTTCTTATAATATTTTTAAGAATTTTTCATATTAATTTATACAGGTTTTTGAAAAAAATACCTTTAACTTCTTTAAACTTTATAAATTTTCTTCGAAAATTATAGAATAATAAATTTTATAGTTCAGAATTCGTACATATAAAGAATTCTAAAAGATTTAGACTTTCTCAGTATTTCTGAAAAATATTCCAAACTGTATAAAAAAATCTTACAAAAAATTTTTTAACATAAAGTAATAGTTAATTGAATAAAATAAGTTACAAAATTACATAGAGATTCTAAAAAAATTGTTTAATTTATTATTAATATACTACAAAAAAATAAATGTTAATGAATCATTTATTTGAATAGTGCTAATTAAATATTTATTAAATAAGTATTTATTTATACTGTAATTTAATGTTTAGTTGGCACTATTCAAATAAATATTTATTTAAATTTAGAATTTTTTTTTTGGTACTAATTCTTGAATAGAAATTTTGAAAAAATTATCATATGAAAAATTCTAAGAAAAATTATCGCTAGAGAAGACATTATTTATAACTCAATTTTAACATATTAATCAAAAATTAAAGTTTCCAATAAATCATAACTATTTTCAATGTTTAAAAAAAAAATCTTTTGATCTCAGATTAAAAAATTTCAACAAAAACTTAATAAATCTTAATATAGATAAAATATTTTATAGATGTATTGTTAGTGTCTCGTATGTTGTTATCAATCATTCACAATGAAATGATTTTCTCTTTGAATCGCGAGCTTAGTTATACAATGAGAAAATTTTTGCTGACTTTGCAGAACGGGATCGCGCAATCATCATCACTATGTTTTCTGACTTTATTATAGAAATCCAAGGAGTCCGAACTCCACCATTGGAAAACATTCCTGGTTGCGTACGTCGCTGCGAAGAACGCCTCCTTGGTAAGAAAAGGACACTAATCATCTTTGTAACGAGCGTTACTTGCTTTTGTATGCATGTAAGTACATACGCGCGCGTAATTTCGCGTCTGAGAAATTTTCCGCCATTCGTTCGCAGTGCCGTAAGAAACGCGACGATACGTCGTCGCGACGAGACAATGATGATTCCGGCTGCGCCGTCTTGGCGTGTGAAAAAGATCCTCGTGGGAAAGCGACTGACTTAACGACATGTTAAATAACGTCATTAATGCAATAATCGAGATAAGAAACCTGTTAAGTTTCTTGAAAAGCGCTGCGTATCTTTGGCCTTCAATCTATACGAAATGACGGAAGCAAATTCATACAGAACATTGTTACTTAAACAATTGCTTTCTGTTCCCTGTTCTGTTCGCTTGAAGTACTAAAACAGAGAAACTGATTCAATTCTTACTTTTTATATACACTATAACTTTTATACACACTTTTCATATAACAGCAGAAAAATATATTGGTTTTCTATAATTCTAATCTGCCGAAGCACCGGAACGTATAAGACGTTGAGTAATACTTACAAGTAACTCATTAGGTCGCCTCTGATTTGGCTCATATTTTTTCATTTAATATTTGCAATGTATTTGCAATGAAAGGAAAATAGAGAATAAAATAAAATAAAATTTGATTGTTTTACTTATTCATTATTTGATACAAAATTTCTATGGAAAAAATGAAATTTTTCTTAAAAATCATGATAAGGACAAAAGACCAAAACTGATAGGTGTGTATATTCACATAATTTATAAGGTTTACATGAGGATTTACAGATTTTCCGATTTTCACTGAAAAAAAAACGAAAACTGAAACATAACTTGAAATCATTTGGCATAAATTCCTTTTTCACATTATTCTCTTGCAAACACTGCAAAATAAAAAACACTACATAAGCGACCCAATGAGAAACGTTACTTGTTAGAAAGATTACTTTTCTGATATAATGAATGTAAAAATCTAAATTTGTAAGCACGAGGCAGATTACTACTTAGTAAGACTGACGATATAATTGAATCTAGAATATGTATTTATCGTAATTCCACTCGCGACTCCCTTTATAGAAACCACGACTTGGCTTATGATCAAAGGTACATTTGGTCGTGTTTGGCAGCGCAGGAGATAGAAACGCAATATAATTCGTTCGAACGAGTAATCTCTAAATATAAGCATCTTATAATAAAACGTAAATAACGTGTGTATGAATGTTAAGGAAAATATTTTTATGCTTGCAGTTCGGGCAGAAAGAGGCTCAGTTCTAACGCTTTAGCAAGGTAAGAAAACACTATGCAATATTATATATATATATAAATGTATAGATTATCTGTCTTTTAATTAACTGGCAGTTTCACCGCCTGTTCCGAACATGATCTCTTTTTTGCAATCTCGCGTTTTTCTCAATTTACCCGCGCGTGCAAAAGGAAATGAATATATCTCGGATAAAAGAGTTCGCTGGCCGTAGGATGATGCCTCCGCATCAAGGTTAATAATTCCCGAAGTCGCTCCTTTCACGGAACTTGAATCGACGAACTTTCTAAAACGTGGGCGTGCTTCTGTTACGTTACGTTCCATACCCACGATTTACCTCGATATTAGCGTTTCCTTCCACGCTACCATCGTTACGTTCAACTATACATACATACGTGTCTTATCCGTCTGTCAAAACGGGCAGGGACGAGAAACGATTTTTACGACTTATACATATTGTCGGTTTGACGGCAATTACAAAAAATAATTTTTTTGTCATTTTTACAAACTAAAATGTCTATTTTTTAATTGTCAGAATTTTCGCTAAATATATCTTTTTCTACACTTTTATTATGTATTATACATATAATTTTTGAAATAGCTTTTTGAATTGTCGTGTGTAATATTAATACTTTCATATAACAATTTCGAAATTTCCTTTCAAAGTCAATGATTCTTTCATATGAATATTAAAAGAGATCTTTTTGCTATAATATTTCTAGCCAACTTTATCGCAGTGGTAGCTTCAACAGTTCCGGAATGGGCTCGAATTACGATGCTACGGACGATGTGTATAGTGATGTATCCTTGGAGGACGTCATGGATCTCAGCCATAAAGTAAGACTTATGATTTTAACATAGTTTTTTTTTTATTTTTAAATCAAAAGCTTACACTCGAATATAAATAAATTTTCATCTTTTTATTTTTCATCGCTTTGAGCCATGAATTATTCCCATTTTGAAAAAGCGAAAAAGTACGATGCGACCCGAACGGAGCCGCAACAGAACGCGAAGATTCGTTTGTCAACTTTCGCATGGAACCGCCAGTTCCTTGTTTAACCTGATTTGGAAAGTGGTTCGCGGTCAAAATTACCTCGGTGGAAGTCACTCTGCTCCTACGTACCGAGGATGCGAAGTGTCCCTCCCAGGTCCTGAGAAATTCTAGGATTTATCGCCAATGTGCGCTACGCGTTCTCGTCAACCTTACGGCGGCGTACATCGTAATTCTGAGAGGGACCATCCACATCCCGCGGTACAGGCTCCTCATCCTCCTCATCCCGTTCCTTATCCTTTCTACCCACCTTCCGCGTATTCACATTGCCCTTCGTACGATCCCTACGCGGCATATCACTGCCCGAGCTCATTTTATCCACCGCCCTATTGCGTTCACGACATTACTAAGGAAGAACCCGCGGTTTGGTCTTGGACTACCGTTGTTCTCCTCTTTCTTCTTGCGATCGGTTTGCTCGTGATTGTTTACCGTAGCCTCTCTCGCGAGTCTCGCCGAAATATCGCTGCTTGGCTGCGCTCGCCCAGACTCGCTTCACAGGTAAATCCCACTTCCTCCGATTTTATTTCGCAGCTGTCTCACGGAATTAATTCGATCGAATTGAAAGACATTTATGAATTTAGATTGTTCATAGTTAGTTTAATTATTCTGTATAATTGTTTCATTTGTGCCATAACTGTGAACAACAGGGGCGGATGCTGACTTTTTGGTATTTAGAAATAGTTACAGTTATACAGATCTATCATACAATTTTTAACAGATAGACAATTGCTTCCGAATAACTTCGCTGGCGATATATGAAAAGGTCGATTTATTTCCGGCCTGTCCAAAATTCGGCTCGTAAGCCGAAACGCTTTCATCTCCGCCGCACCGTCTCGATAGAGCGAGACGAAGCGTAAATAACACGTTGCTGCAATATTGCTGCAAACTTCTATATGGGAATATACTTTTGTATAATTAATTATATTTTTTCTTTAATAAGAAATAAGGATGCCTGAAGAAGACCGATATAGCATCATTATGGGTGTCACAAACATGAGAGAATGATAGGCAAAATAAAAAACGGCTGTTATAATTGCAAATTGAGAGACAGGTTTCCTCGACTCTACAACGCTTGGACAGGCCTGATTTATTTCAATACTGTGAGAATGAGTCATGATATCTTTTTTTCTGACATCATTATCTAACGACTGCAGTGACGAATCCATGCAGGAATTTTTAGTTTCACTGATAATTTCCATAACAACACGAATCCGCCCCTGCAAACAAAGAAAAGAATGAAACGACATTTTTACCGATATTCATGAGACCACTCTACAGAGAAATATAGACGCAGATAAAACTTAATGCATGGCACAATTGAAAAGCGCAAGCAATAAGAACAAAGAATAAGAGATTTCAACCTATCAGAAATCGTGTATACCAGACCATTTTATTCCCTTTTCCTATTGTCTTGGTGCTTTTTATTGTGTTTCAGGCTTAACACGTAATCAATACAATAAAATCGGGCGCTGAGAGTCAAAATTGCGGTAATTAGTGCAAAAATATAAGATTTTTTATTCATGTAAAACTATATAAAAACATCAGACGTTTCGGCTTACTTTCGAGCCATCTTCAGTGGTTCGACTATTAATATTAAATCAACGAATATCTTCATGAGATGAGCTGGAGAGTGGCAGCTCCCATCCTCCATATAGCAATTGTCTCAAGATGTGCTAGTAAAGATGTGGCAAATGAATAGAAGAGAATTCTAAATAATACCACAAATTGACATTAATATTAATGTACTTATTAATGTACTTAGTTTTACTTGAATAAAATATCTTATATTTTTGCACTAATTACCGCAATTTCGACTCTCAGCGCCCGATTTTATTGTATTGATTTTTTCGAGAGTTCGATTTAATTTATATAACACGTAATATCGTATGTATATTTTTCGCCCTTATTGCGCAGGGCTATAATCGCGGGGACTGAGTTCCGTAAAGAGATCGAGTCCCCTGCATGAGGAACCTGCCTTGATTTTGTCCATCTTTCTCGACTCGTGCAGACCGCGAAGACACAAGACGCGGCTCAGAATTATCCCGCGGAATTTCTCCGGTGTACCGAGCGGAACGGAGATTACGGTCCTTCGTGCGTGGATCCCGGCGAATCCTCCTCATTAACAGACACGGTAACGAAGACATTCGTAAATCCTGTCTACGAGAACAACGATCGAGACGAAAGCGAAATTGAAGATAACGAGACCGTCCAAAACGAGTTCGTGGCAGATACTGATAGATTTCGATCAATCCATCGGTATTTCCATTTCGAAAAGTGATTGCGAGACAATAACGAGAAAACGCAGAAAGCAAAGTAAAATCTGAAGTATACAAAGGAACTCCAATACAATCACCTGATTGAGTAAATACTGAGTAATCAACGAGAGCAAGTAATAATGATTTTTTACAAGAAAAATGTCTATTTTATTTAAGCAAGATTATGGAATCGATGCAATTTTTATAGAACAGACCTAAAAAGGATGTACTTTCTCAAAATTTCTGAAGTGTATCAATTTATAAAAAATCTAAATATTTTAAAAAAATTATAATAAAATTATCCAGAAGAGTTGTGAAAAAATCTAAAATTTATATCATAGAAGATTTAAAAAATTATATGAAGAAATAAAAAAAAAATTTCACCAGGGAATTATAACATACAGCTATAATGTTTTTAATGAATCTTTTATATTAAATTTGATAAATAATTAATATTTATAATAATAAACTTTTTATGTCATAATTATAATACATAGTTAACGCAATAGAGATAAAATGAAATAAATAAATTCTAACACCAAAAGTTAATTCAGAGAAAGTTGTAGAAAGTTAATGAAAAATGTATATCGTTAAATGGAAGCATGTCGGGGGCTCGTGTTAATCGTTGGGTTTGCATTATCGCGAATAAACGTAGCGACCATTCCCGCGCGTTTGATCCGATCTCATTGAAATTATACCGATACGATATGCCTATTCCCGACTAATTTTAAGGCATGATGCATGGTTCCGTTACACGCGAAGCCTTATTATACGTTGCAGATAATTTCGTACGAATAGAATATACATACCTATGAGGATGTTGAATGTACGTACAATGATGACGTTGTCGCGATGAATCGTCAATTAAATTGGCAAGTTCGCGTGTGTGCCCATCGCATCGTAGCGAGAAATACGTGTCCGCCTGAGTAATTTACGTATCCATGTACGTATGTACAACATTGCACGACGGGGCTCAATCTAGGTTGATGGTACAAGTAGCTTTGTCGTAAGGCTTGATGAAATTTCAGCGCATGGAAACGTGAGCCGCAAACCATTGCATTTAACGGCGTTCAACATGAAATCGCCAGTTAGCCTCACGAACAAGTCCGCTTCAGTCGCAACGCGACAATAGCTTCGCGTAAGCTCCGGTTTAGAACGGTTTAGAATAGGTCAGGGATGGGAAAGTTACTATGTAAAAGTAGTTAGTTATCGTTACAATTACTAAAAAAGTAACTTTTAGCAAAATAAAGAATTTTTTTCTGCTATTTGACATGTTAACAATGGAATTATTGGACTTCAAAAAATGGTACAATTCTTCTTGTAAAGATTCGATTTTTTTTGTTCTCTAGTTAAAATGAGAAAATCATCCTAATCTATAAGCTAAATTCTTCATTAACTGGGTAACTTTCACTTATAATATAGTATTTCCCTAGTCTTGCGTATACGTTTCTTTTCAAGAGGCCCAGCATTAACTTCAGCATTAACAGTGAACATAAACGCAGCCATAATCAATATAAGTTACGGTCTACTTAATGCTAGAAATATTTTAAAGCATTCTCTAATTGATCAATTAAATGTTTCGAAGCATTTGTAGAGCCAAGTGGACCACACATTAAATTGACAAATAAGTTTGAAATATATTGAAATTAATTATTAAATTAGTTACTAGTTACTTATAAAAAATGTAACTAAGTTGAGTTACAGTTGTACTGATAAAAAGAAAGTAACGAAGTTAAGTTATGATTACTGAAAGAAAGTAACTCTAACTGTAACTTTGTTAAAAGTAACGAATTATTTCCCATCCTTGGAATAGATGCAAGTATGCCTTCAGTCTTTTGCTCTAGCAGCTTTGAGTTAATCTCTCTCCTCTAATGTAAGCTCTAAACTTTACAGTTGAGATCTGTAGCAAAATTCTGTAACACGTTATGTATTCATAACGATGGTTGCGCAGCTTTTTTACTATAAAAATAAAATATTTGCATAACCGTCATTATGAGCACATAACGATTGTATAACGAGTTACAAAATACAGGGGCTGGTCGCTTAAGGATCTTTTGTCTTTGGATGTTTAATAAAGATTATTTTCAGGAATTTTTTTGAAAAACCTGTGCGACGGATTTTTATAGGCTTGATTTATTGTTCATATATTAAACTCTCTTCAGTGTAAAGATTTGATATCATTAATCTCAAAAAAATTATTAACGTTTAAACGAGGCACTACAAAAAATGTGGTATGCATGATATCTCGACTCTAGGTGATCTGAAACAGGAATGTCAAGAAATTTTTATTTATGAATAATTAAAGAGATACGTAAGTTTTGGAAAAGGAGAAAAAGTGAAAAATGACAAAACGACACTAATTTAATCTTGGAATGCTGTCGATACATAAATAAATACATATGTATATACAAGTAAGTGAGATCTTTGAGCGCTAATTGAGTTATGCTTTCAGTAGTCATTAGCAGGTTCAATACCATGTTAAAAGCTTGGACAAGCAGAGACAAGTTTTTAAAAATTCTGTCCATTTTTTATATAATGCGTTCAGCAGAGAAAACTGCAGGCCTACTCTGTAACTCTTAACGCGAATTTCGTTATCATTTAACGTTACTGCGCAGCGGCGTTATAACGATAACGAAACTTGCATTAAGAATTACAGAACAGACCTGCTAAAATCAGTGAGCGCTCAGTGATTCTTTAATATGAGTTCTTGCCTTTACTTCTTCGCTGGATCTAAATGTAGGAATCAATTATGTTAAAAAATCACTGAGCTTACTGGATAAGTTTTCTTCGCTAAACGCAGCCAATCAGTTTGAATCTCCTGGTGGTTAGTATTATAATCAGAATCTGGATTTCAGTGTCATTTTCTCCACTCCAAGCGGCGAAAAGCAATGCTAGTGTAACGATCCAACCGCTAGCACACCAAATGCCTTCGTATAGATAGAGCAAAGAAATATACATATTATTTGTTAGATCTATACAAGAAGCAGTCTCGTTTACGCCACTATATAACGGTCTAGCGTATTAAATGGGGCGTCATCGCACAGAGCAAAGAAATATATTAACTCATTTGATTAGTTTAACACATAATATATTTCTTTGTGCGATGATGTCCTATTTAGTACGTTAGACTATACCGTAGTGACGTAGAGCAGGTAGCTTCTCGTGACGCACGCGCGCTGCTGGAGTGGGGAAAACGATACCGAGATCCGGACTCTGGTCATAATGTATGACATAGAGTGTATTCCACTTGACGTTCGCAATGCTCGTGGAATCATTTCATCCTGTTGTTTATTAAACGTTAAACAAAGACAAATAATGCTCACAAGCGTTGTGAGCGCCAAATGGAACGCACCTATAAGTGTTATAATTTATAAGGGAAGATCTCAATTGAACACACTAATTTTTGAAACTTTTGAAATTTTTTAAAATCCAAGGTTAATTCACATGTGCTCTTTCTTTCAAATATTCATTAATGAAAATTTCTTAGAATTTTTGTTTCAGATCGATATCATACAATAATGTCTTTTGTAAAGCTTTTTTGTTTAAGGCTATGGTCAAAGTCTCGTTACAAAAATTTTGAAGCGCTTGATTGACCAATCAAGAAATGCTTTAAAAAATTTGTAGCATCGCGTTAACCGTACTCTTAGTTAATAAACTAGTAATTTTTATTGAAGATAATTAAATGTATGTACAACAAAAACCTACAATAGCTTAATAAATATTCGTAGCATGGGTTTCGTAAAAACAATTCTAAAAAAATAGTCTTATTAGACTTCCAAAGGTAAAAAGCTCTTTAAAGCTTAGGGGGATGCTGAAACCTCCTGTATTACCGATAAAACAAGCATTTTTGACGTTTTTGTTCCTATCGAATTTCTTCGTAGTAGTTTCACAGAATAAAAATTCCCCTTTTCCATAATTAAAATGTATATGCTAATGTACTTGTCGTTGGTGTATTTTAGCTGGAAAAAATAAAAAATTACAGATTTCTTTGTCCATTTTACTTTTAGGTTGGTCGCCATATTGAGATAAAAATGGATAAAGAAATCTGTAATTTTTTATTTTTTTCCAGCTTTGAACACGAAATACACTAGCGACAAGTACATTAGTATATATATTTTAATTGTGGAAAAGGAATTTTTATTCTGTGAAACTACTACGAAGAAATTCGACAGGAACAAAACATCTGGAGGCGGCTCCAGCATCCCTTTCAGGGTTACAGCTTAAGACAACGCCGGAAACGTTTTTTGTCGAGAAACAAACATTACAATTTAGAGCTTAGAGCAAGAGGCTTAAAGGTTTATCCTATATACCTATTGTAGATCGAGCTTGATCAGAAGGAGGTATACGCATGGCCCGTTCGGCACAAGCCGCGGGTCTGTTCGCGTGGGTAGGATGGCCCTTCCTGAGCTTCCTGCTGATTGCGGGATGGATCGCTTATCTAGTATGCAAGTCGTATGAAAGATGGACGACATCGGGAACAAGGTAATGTCTCGTGAACGGCAACCGACTACGCGGATTCCTGGTTCGCAGAAAAAAATAATTCATGGCTCGAACACGATTGAATAGTAAGTTTTATGACAAATTTAAATTACAAGGTATTGTGTGGTATCAATCTTTTGTAATCCTGTACGTCCGAATTTGAATCAATATAATGACCATCGCATAATTCTTCAAGCATTCGAACTTATAATTGGCAAACTATGTTTATATTAATATAATAAATATTACATTATAATATAATATTTATATGATACATTAAAATATGAATATTATATTTATTTTTATTATTATTTACATTAATATACATATTATTTTTATAGTTTTGTGGATGTTAAAAAATTCCTTCAAATTAATAAAAATTTAATTTTAAAAAATTGGTTGTGATCAATTTTTCGATCGAACGTGAGAAGAATAATTGAATATGATTGATTAATTCTTTAAGGTTTAAGACTACTCTAATCGTATACAGTATCGACTAATCACAGTCGAGCATTCCTTTCTTATAATTGAATGCGAGGAGAATACTCGACTGTAATTAGTCAATTCTTACAGATTATACAGTTACGGCCAATATAAATGATCCCTTAACGTATCATTTCTCGCTTATGACGTCACGATTCAATATGGCCACGGCAACTGCGCAGTTCGTTGATTATATTGTGTATCGCCGCATTAAAATATTTTATATAAAGCAGCTTTTAATATGCACTGATCCAGTGTAATGCGAGTGATCGAATTCACCATAAGAAAAGTATTGACCGCTTAAAAAAGAACGCTTTAAATTGCGTTGCCTATAAATTTAAAACTCGGCGTAACTTCTATGAGTTATATAGTTGTTGACCGTGTTCCGATATATACCTATTGCCAATACACTGAAAATTTATAATATGTATACGTAATGTGTGTATACGTATATGTGTATATTATAGATCTTCACTTTTCAGTACTGGCAGTGTATATCAGAGAACATGGTTTATATCTATGCAAGAGTGAACTGTTTGACGATTATCGACGTTACGAATGAATATTTTCGCCTCCGCGAGGTTGGAACATAATGGGAATCATATCGATTTTCGTCTCGAGAGACGTCGATAATACTTTCTTGACGAGTGTCACGAGCGTAGAGAAGAAACGCGACGTCGAAGGCTAAGGTGCGTTCGGCGTAATGCTACTGTCGAGTGCAGAGTTAATCGGCACGTGGTATGAAGCGCGCAAATGGTCTCGATGGTGATTACTTTGGACTCCTGGCTCGAAGTAGACGATCAGTAGATAGAGGCAGCGAGCGAACGAGCGAGCGAGCGACAGCGAAAAAGAGAGAGGGGGAGGGGAGAGAGAGAGAGAGAATGGGAGAATGAAAGAGAAACATGTGAGCGAACAGGGGACTCGGAATATATTCCTGGCACGTAAAGTTGCCTAAGACGCGGTAGAAGTGCGTGTGACTTCGCACGGAAGGAAGTCCGGAGTGCATTCTCGATGCATGTTAGTGCGGCCTGTGCGGCACGATCGCACGTCGTGACGAAGCGGGCGACGGTGACGGTGACGCCGGCGAGGGCGAGGGCGACGACGACGACGAAGACGAAGACGAAGACGAAGGAGGAGCACGCGCGGGAATGACGAGGTGCGCTTGCAGCAATACAGGCGATGACGTGACGCGATAAACACGAACGACCGGGCCTACAAGAACGCGACGCGTCGCGCCGCGATGGAGCTGAACTTTTGCGAGAAGACGGTCGACCGCGACCACCGCGACGACCACGTGTCTTTTTCCGGGGAGGGGCCGTCCTCTGGCCCTGGCGCTGGCCTCGAGTATGACCTGTGGGAAGGCCAGTTCCAATTCGTAGGACAGCAATCGTCGCCGTCGTCGTCACCGTCGCCGTCGCCACGCTACGACCGACATCCACCTCGTCGCCGTGGGCACCGGCTCGGCGAGCAAGTAAGAGGAGAGTGATCATCTCTGGCCCTGGCCTGGCGCGCCCGGCAGGAAGCACGGGAAGCACCCGACGATCGCGATCCTCGGGATTTTGATTTTCAATTCACCGCGAATTCGCATCTTCGAATTCGGTTCGACCTACCGCGCACGCTTTATTGCGTATTATAGAAGCTGTCATTGCGCGCGTATGTGCGTATGTATCCCGCGAATAAACGCGGAGGCTATTCTCGTGCGTCCTTGTTACCGGCACGTTTATCCGTTCGGAGATTTTATATTTGCATTTCGCGCATATATATGACATTTCACTATGCGTTGTCTCGCGGATATGTCGAAAAAACGTTCCATGGAAAATGACAATAGTAAACGAGGTTTTTATGCGATATTAAGTGTATCGTTCGGTTATATAAAGCTCATCTTAAAGGGATATCAGTTGATTATCGTTATCGCATGCGATATTTTCTGATGATCTAAGATAGCGAGTATTTCTAATCGTGCATAGGCGTTGTTATATGCGCGCAACATAACTGCGAAATATAATCGGGATACGAGGCGTGAAGGCGAGGTTTTATCATATACTTTCTTCGACTTCTGTCACAGGCTGTTCCAATAAAAAGAGACGAGAAGACTGTAAGTAGTCCGTCGTCTCCATTGATAGCCGCAGCATTTTGATAATCGTGGCAGCGTGGGCATGCTCCTAAAGGGAGTACGCGTTTCCTAACTTTCCTTCAATATACTTTCTCCGAATAATTTCGCGCCTACGAAAGTATTATTCGTGGATTCTTAAGCTGGTATTCATAGTCAGATCTTATATTCAAGACCGTCTTAAGAAGTCGCGAATCAATCAGAGGGCTGTATTAGTGTCTTAAGACAATCTTGATATAAAAACGAACTATGAATACCGCCTTACTGTCAATTAATCGATCCGTTCGCACTCGATCGGTAGATCTTTGTAGTCTTCTCAGAGAATGACATCATTGGATTTTTAATTTTCAGCGTACCATTTTTCCATACTTAGTTAATTGAAGTTATTAGTATTCTTTATTGCTTTTTTAAGGGAGGAATTTACTTTAAGAGATCGAAAAAAAAGATCTTTCGTAATTTTTTAAGTAGAAAGACTAATATCTATTGTTTAACAATTTTTTTACGTTTTAATACAACTACTGTACATTCAATTTTTTGTGTAAAGAAAAAAGTATTGTTAAAAGGATAAATTCATAAACATTTAATTTTGTGTACATCCTCGGTACTTTAATTCTTAAAGTAAAAAACGAAAAAAATATTTATAATTTTTATGTTATTTTATCCCAAATAAACTTTTAAAATTAAAAATATGCATATATAAATTAAAATTTTGTGCGACTTTGAAAAAAAGTTATGATTTTCATTTTTTAGACAGCGTCTAAAAACACAATTTCTTTATGCAAAAAAAACTGTTAATAGTTTTTTAAAATAATTTTTCAGATTCATTGAGAGGAAAATTGACCATTATCTAAAGAGTTTTATAAAAAGTTGATTGGCCAAATAACTTTTTTTTTAAATCATATATATACAAAATTAAAGAAAATTTAAAAGACAGATTTTGGGATAAACACGTTTAAAGTTTTCGATGTAGTTTTTGAATATTTACAATGCTCGAAATCTACTATTCCAGGGGCACACAGTTATAGTTCTTTAGCTTCCTCATTAAATTCATTCTGAGCAATTTTTTTTTAAGTTTCGTGCTACTCAATGATCGACGCTCCTGCTTGGAGGAGTTGTTCATCATACATAGTGCTTGCATTCCGGACCAATATTAATTTCCAATTCATTAATGATTTTTAAAATAGGTAGAATATTGACCGCAGCACACACTTTTGCATAACGCATAATGCATAGTGCATAAAGGAATCAACCAATAAAAATTTTTCTTTTTCATGGAATGGGAGGAAAGGGAAGATTCTGATTAGTTGATTCGTTTATGCAAGTGTGTGCTGTGGCCTTATCCCTTGTTAAAAATGCCAGTGCGACAATAGAAGCGGTAATTTCGAAGTATTTTTGCATTGCAATTGAGATGCATTGGCGCTAGTCTCCAGATGTCGAGTTAACAGATAGTATGATCGATGTAAATAAGAATCAAATGCTTCTCAATATCTCGATACTATATCGTCGCACTCCCGTTAGAAGCGTTTATAATACAGCGCTGTGATTGGCTGGAAGAAATTCTTCATTTCTTACATTTTAGTATTAGCAAAAAAATCGTGGTTTAATATGTTTCGATAGTATAATGTCTCGGGATTATTTTAGCACCACAGACTTCTATAAATAGGCTGCCAACTTCGCCTCTATGTTTGAAGACAGCGCCATATTTGTGTTTACTCACTCTCACATATACAAATCACACGGATAATAACGTTTAGTGTTTTCACATAAATTCACGCGATATTCATAGACAGGACGGATATTATATACATATGTGAACTGAAACAAGGACAGCTCGGAATCAGATTCATCTTTTTCTATCATTGAATCAGCAGTCTAGTTATAGAAGTCTGTACTTGGCACCAAATACATGCGAGCAAATAATTCTGTAGAAAAAAGAAACTTGAAGCGCGATGCAGAGCGCGCAGGTTAAACTATTTGTTTTTCATATGTTTATACTTGACAAAAAAATCAGGTTTGTTCATATTTCAATAATTGCTTGGAGAACATTTTGGCACTGAATGTCAAGGTCATCGGCGATTGCTCTTCTTTTCTATACTTTTACCAAATTATCGGTATTCTAGCTTTCTATTGCTATGCTTCCAGTAAAGTAAAATACATAATAAATGTATGTTTTTATTCGTTAATTCTTATCTAAGGTATTATTTTTATAAAGTATATACTCTTATAATTAGATTTCATTCTTATAAACATTTCCTATGTTTTCAAATACCTATACGAGATAGACTCTCTCTCTCTCTCTCTCTCTCT